CAGGAAACCTGGAATATTCCACACGGGATGTACGGCAAACTCTGGCTCCAAATACCCTGTACAGAGCGGTCCCGGGGCCGCTGTCAGTGTGGGGGGGCCCTGGGATGGAGAAATCCCGGGATCGGGGAGCCCCGGGGAGCCCGATCCGTACAGGGTATGAGCTCGGGGAGCGGCTAACTCGGTTACAACAAGGTCAAATCAAGTGACAGCGCGCCCATCCACGTGTCTAACATCAGGTACAGACTTCCCAAGGGCAGGATTTCTTTTGGAAGAAGGCTTATTCCAGTTGCAGGAGGCTGGCATGAGGTGTATGGATGCCTGGGCACAGCTCCCGGGCGTGGCAGCGGGGCCCGCAGTCCGTTTAGAAGCATTTACGGTGCACGATGGAGGGGCCGGACTCATCGTACTCCTGCTTGCTGATCCACATCTGCTGGAAGGTGGAGAGGGACGCCAGGATGGAGCCGCCGATCCACACGGAATATTTGCGCTCCGGCGGGGCGATGATCTGCGGGAGAGGAGAGAACAGTGGTCAGGGCACAGCCAGAGCCTTCCCTTCACCCCTCACCCCCCGGAGCCCGTCCCACCTTGATCTTCATGGTGCTGGGGGCCAGCGCCGTGATCTCCTTCTGCATCCTGTCGGCGATGCCGGGGTACATGGTGGTGCCTCCAGACAGCACCGTGTTGGCGTACAGGTCCTTCCTGATGTCCACGTCACACTTCATGATGGAGTTGAAAGTGGTCTCGTGGATGCCACAGGATTCCATGCCTGGGTGGGGAGGAGAGAGGGGCAGGTTCGTTAGTGCCATCCAGGATGCCCAAGAGCCCACCGACCACCTTGTCAGTGCCACCCAGCCCCCTTTCTGCCACAAAGCAGCTTGTTACTACTAACCCAGGACCCCTCAGTGCCCACCCACCACACTGTTAGTGTCAGACAGGTCCTTGTATGTACCACTCAGGACCTCTTGGTGACGCATCCTGAACCCAACCCCTCCCCTCCACCCTCAACCCCACCCCACCTGGAGCTGACCCTGCCCCCCACATACCCAGGAAAGAAGGCTGGAAAAGGGCCTCTGGACACCGGAACCTCTCGTTGCCGATGGTGATGACCTGCCCATCGGGCAGCTCGTAGCTCTTCTCCAGCGAGGAGGAGGAGGCGGCCGTGGCCATCTCCTGCTCGAAGTCCAGGGCCACGTAGCAGAGCTTCTCCTTGATGTCCCGCACGATCTCCCGCTCGGCCGTGGTGGTGAAGCTGTAGCCCCTCTCTGTCAGGATCTTCATGAGGTAGTCGGTGAGGTCGCGGCCGGCCAGGTCCAGACGCAGGATGGCGTGGGGCAGAGCGTAGCCCTCGTAGATGGGCACGGTGTGGGTCACACCGTCCCCAGAGTCCATTACAATGCCTGTGGTGCGGCCAGAGGCGTAGAGGGACAGCACGGCCTGAATGGCCACGTACATGGCCGGGGTGTTGAAGGTCTCAAACATGATCTGGAAGGAGGAAAAGTCAATTAGCAGCAGGTCCCCAGCTGGGCGTGTGCACTCAGTGTTAGAACACACATGCTTGGCATGCAGAGCAACCCGGTGTGTGAAGGGAAAGCCAAAAAGGATGCAGGCAGAAACACAAATGAAAGAACCTGAGGCGTCAGGGGAGAAATGCCAGGAGAACAGAACCCTGAAAATGTCGGGAGAAACAAAACAAAAAAAAAAGAACAAAATATTCAGGTTTCAGATGTAACGAAGGAGGTTCGTGAAGATGAGTGAGGGGGGCCGGCGGGCGGGGGGGGCACGGTACCTGCGTCATCTTCTCTCTGTTGGCCTTGGGGTTCAGGGGAGCCTCTGTGAGCAGCACCGGGTGCTCCTCGGGGGCCACACGCAGCTCGTTGTAGAAGGTGTGGTGCCAGATCTTCTCCATATCGTCCCAGTTGGTGACGATGCCATGCTCGATGGGGTACTTGAGGGTCAGGATGCCCCTCTTGCTCTGCGCCTCATCCCCGACGTAGCTGTCCTTCTGCCCCATGCCCACCATGACGCCCTGCGGAGCCGAGCGGGTGAGTCAGCGCCGCCCCCGCCCCGGGCCCGGCCCGGCCCGCGCCCCGCGCCCCCCGCCCGCCTCACCTGGTGCCGGGGGCGACCGACGATCGAGGGGAACACGGCGCGGGGCGCGTCGTCCCCGGCGAACCCGGCCTTGCACATGCCGGAGCCGTTGTCGATGACGAGGGCGGCGATTTCCTCTTCCATGGCGGAGGCTGCGCCGGGAGGGAGGGAGGGAAGGGAAAGGGCCGGGTCAGCGGCCGCCGCGGCCCCGGGAGAAGCCGCTGGCTGCGGGCCATGCCCGGCCCCCCCCGCCCCGATGGTCCCTCCCGTTTGAATCGCCCGTTTGAATCTCCCGCGCGCTGACGTCACCCGCCGCCTGCACCAATCGCGGCGCGCCCCCCCGCACACCCCCACCTGCCCGGACCCACGGGCGAGACCATCCCAGCGCGGAACGGGGGGGGCGGGGGGGGGACACCCCACACGGCCGCAGCCCACCGCGGGGCCGGGCGAGACCGAGCGCCGTAAAACCCCCACTGCACCCCCCGAGGAACGCGGGGGAAGGGGCGGCGCGGGCGCGGTGCGGGGCCGTGCGGTACCTGCTGCGCGGGGGTCGCTGCTGTGGGCGATGCGGTGACGGTGCCGCCTGGTCCGGTGCCGCCGGCTGAGTGAGACCGCCCGGCTGCCAGCCCCGACTTTTTATACCCGGAGGGCGACGGCCCCACCCTCCCGGCCGAGAACATCGCCATATATGGAGATCTTTCAGAAACACGCGCTTCCATTGGTCGGCGCGGCCCAGGCCACGTGGGGCGGCTGCCGGGCTGGCCCCGCCCTCTCGGCACCCCGGAACCTGCATGGGGCGGGGGGGGCCGCGGGGGGGGCGACCCCCGGCCCCGGCGGGACCCCCCGATCCCGGCGGGACCCCCCGGCTCGGGCACCCCCGGGCAGCGCCGGGCACCCCCCCGGCAGCGCCTCCGGGGCGGCCGGGGCCCCGCGGGCCTGGCCGGGCCGGGCCTGGCCCCGCACCCCGAAGGTGGGACCGCGCCCCCCGCCCCGGGCAGCACGTGCACCCCACCCGGGCACCGGGACCCCCCCGCCCGGGCACCGGACACGCCACCCCTTCCCACGGCACCTGCACCCCCGCCTTGGCACTGGGACCCCCCACCCACCTGCACCCCCACCCACAGCACCAGGACCCCCCACCCACA